ATGCAGAAAGCATCAAAACAAGAGAGCTAAAATACACAAGAGTCATTGTTCCAAAAACAACCGGCTGACAAGGAACCATTTCAGAAAGTAGCATATGTTCAAGAACTAATAGTAATGAAGGAAGATGTTCAAGTTGTGCTAAAGTCATGTTTGTTGTTTGTTGTTATGTGCCGTTGAGTCGCTTGCGACTCATAGCGACCCTATGTACAACAGCCCTAAACTCTGCTCTGTCCTGTGCCAATCGCACTCTCTGACACTCCCACCCCGATTATCCCAGTCACTGAATCAATCCACCTCATAGAGGGCCTTCCCCTCCTGTGCTGTCCCTCCACCCTCCCAAGCATGATGTCCTTCTCCAAGGACCAGTCTCTCCTCACAAAATGTCCAAAGTATGTTAGACGGAGCCTCAGAATCCTTGCCTCCAAGGAGCCACCCAGTTTAATCCTTTGCAGGATGAATCTGTTTGTTTTCCTAGCAATCCATGGTATTCTCAATACTCTTCTCCAGTACCACAGCTCAAAATCATCAATTCTCCTTCTATCCTCCTTGGTCATTGTCCAACTCTCTGATGCATAACAAGTGATTGCAAAGACCATGGCCTTTATCAAATGCACCTTAGTCTCCAGAGAGACACCATTGCTCTTCAGTACTTTGGAGAGGTCCCTAACAGCAATGCGCCTTTTAATTTCCTGGCTGCTGGTGCCAAGACTGTTGACTGTGGAGCCAAGCAAACTAAAGCTGTGTACAATCTCAATCTCTTCATCATCCATCCCGATGCTGCCAATTGGTCCAGTGGTGAGAATCTTTGTCTTCTTGACATTGAGCCTCAATCCATATTGGAGGCTGCAGTCCTTGATAAAAATAAGTCCCTAAGAATTGATGAGATACCAACTGAGGTATTTTTACAAACAGAGGCAGCCTTGGACTTTCTCATTAGTATACTTCAAGAAATCTGGAAGACAACTATTTGGCCAGCTAAGAAAAAGAGATCCATACTTGTTTCCATTTACAAAAACGATGATCCAATAGGATATGAAAATTACCGAACAATATTCTTTATATCTTCTCCCCTGCAATTAACTGCCTCTGAAAACCCTCAGGAGGGTCAGCTATGGACAAGTTGCAACTGTATGGTACACAACAACAACAACATCCTTAATATTGGATGCAAGTAAAATCATGAGGAAGATTACTTTTAAATGGCTAGAACAAGTACGTTGACAGGGAATTGCCAGAAATGCAAGCCAGATTCAGAAGAGGCCTTGGCATGATAGATATCACTGCTCATGTCAGATGAATCTTGGCTGAAAGCAAAGAATATGAGAAAGATTTTTTTGTGTGTTTTATTGACTATAAAAGGCATTTGACTGTGTGGATCATGACAAATTATGACTAACATTGAGAAGAACAGTAATCCCAGAATACTTAATTGTGCTTATGCAAAACCTATATCTAGATCAACAAGCAGTTGTCCAAACAGAACAAGAGAATACTGCAGGATTTAAAATCAGGAAAACTCTGTGTTAGAATTGTATTTTTTCTTTATCGCCATACTTATTAAATCTGTATGCTTAGCAAATCATTCAAGAAGCTGGACTATAGGAAGAAGAATGTGGTATTATAATTAGGGAAGACATATAAATAATCTGTTACACAGATGACATACCTTGCTTACTGAAAGTGAAAAGGACTTGAAACACTTTCTGCAGAAAATGAAAGACTACAGCCTTTTCTATGGATTACATCTCAACATCAAGTAAACATAAACCCTCTCCACCAGGCCAAGAGGCAACATCATGATAGATAGAGAAAAGATTGAAGCTGTCAGAGATTTCATTTTGCTAGAACTCACAATCAACAACCTGGGTACCATCAGACAAGAAATCAAGACATGCTATACTGGGACAGTCGGCTGTCAAAGACTTCCAAAGTGGTAAAGAGCAAGGGTGCCAGTTTAAAGGATATGCAAACCATGACCTTTTCAACTACTTCCTATGCATATGAAATATGCATAAAGATGACAGGAAGAATCTATGCCTGAATTCAAATGGTGGTGTTGGAAAAGAGTACTGGATAAATTATGGACTGCCAAAAAGAACAAACAAGTCTATCTTGGAGGATGTGGAACCAGTGTGGTCTTTAGAGGCAAGGATGGTGAAACTTAACCTCATATACTTTGGGCATGTTGTTAGGAGGGGCTGATCCTTGGAAAAAGACATCATACTGGGGAAAGTGAAGTATCAGTGAAAGACAGGAAGACACTTTCCATGAGATGGATTGACATAGAGACTCTAACAACGGGTTCAAGTATATCAGAGATGGTAAGAATGGCACAGGATAGGAGAAGGTTCAGATTGTTGTTCATAGGAACATTATGAGTGGACGTTAGCTAGCATCTAACAACAGTAACAACCCTCTCTCACTTAAAGGTTACTTGTTGGTTTAGATTTCATTTATGACTACTCTTCTTTGTTCTAATAAATCATTTACTTAGCTTTTCTTGGATTAGTTTCCTTCCTTTTAATCCTAGTCCTAGTCTTTCTCCCCACTAGGAGGCAGATAACCTTGACCTTGACTTTGGCACAGTGGAGGAGAGACTGAAGCAGCTCAGCTAGCTCAACAAACCATCCTGATATTTGTTCTAGGGCTTTTTATTACTACCTCTGTTTACCACCATTTACTACCTGGGAACATCACCTTGGTTCATACCACTGTCTTTGGTTACATGGAAGGAGACTGGATCATGTGGTTAGTCTGGCATCTCCATCCGCTTTTTCTAAGCCTTTCTCCTAGGTTCTCTATGTTCTCTTCTTAGCTTCTCATCCATGATCTTAAATATCGTCTACACTCCAAGCATCACATTTACATAATTAGCTAGGATCTTTTCTCTGATATTCAGGCCTATATAACCAAATATACTTGACATCTCCATTTATAAGCATCTCAAATTTAATATGTCCTAAAACACTTACTCCTCCTTCTATGTTTCCTGAAATTGGTAAAACACTTGCTCCTGCTTCTCTATGTTCCCTGAATCAGTAAATCTATTTTAATCCATCTAGTTACTTAAGCAGAAACTCAGAGTCATCTTTAATAATCCTCTTTTATTCACCCTTCCTGGCAAACCAATCCATTATATAGTCCTTTGGATTGCACTTTCAATTTATACATGTCTTGAAATTATCCACTTTTCTCCATCTCTGTCATTACCCTAGTTCAAGTCACCATCATCTCTGACCTTGACTAATGCAACTGTCTCCAAACTGGCCTTCTAGCAACCTCTCCTGCCCTTTTCCAATCTTTTTCCCCTCAAGCAACCTGAGTGAGCTTTTAGATATGTAAATCAGATCATACTTAATGTTCTCTATAAATTGCCCTTTGATCTTAGGATATATTCCAAAATACAGTCTGTAATCTATGATGTGGCCAATGAATGCAGTCTTGCATGGCCAGGCTCCTGCCTCATCTCAGTCCAAGTTTCTCCTTACTCTCTACATTCCAGTCACATTGATTTCTTTTCAGTTTGCCTAGGCTTTAAAAGGCACTTTAGAGAGTGCTTCCCTGACTGTCCAAAATTAATTCATCATAAATCAAATCCCCTTTCCCTCCATGACACCAGTGAGTCTACTTGGACTCACTGGGACCATCAAAACTGTCCATCGTTCTTCATAGATGGCAGTTGGATTTAAACCAACTACCTTTCTGTTCACAGTCTAGTATGAAGCCCATTATGTCCCCAGGTCTCCTTAAATCTTAACAGCATTCTCTAATTATTTTCCATATTACTGATCACAATGTAAAATTGTATATGATTTCTATTTTAACATCTGTTGTTCCTGTTGTTAGGTGCTGGCGAGTTGAATATGACTCACAATAATCCAATGACCTGAACCCTACCCTATCCTATGCCATCTTCATCATCTCTGACACAGCAGACCCCATTGCAGAAGTCACTATGTCTATCCATCTCATTCCGAGTCTCCCACTCCTTCACTGACCCTCTGTCTTTTCAAGCATGACGTCCCTCACCAAGGAAAAGCCTCATCTTGCTTCATGCCCAAAGTATGGAAAACAAAGCTTCATTATGTTTCCCTCAAAAAAATAAAGCCCTCTGGCTGCACTTTTCCCAAGACATACTTGTTTGCTCTTTTGGCAGTACAACTCAACGGCATAGATTCTTCTTTTCTCATCCTTATTCATTGTCTAGCTCTCTGATGCATAGCAGGTGATTGAGAAGACCATGGCCTGAATCAGGTGCAACTTAGTCTTCAAAATGACATCATTGCTTTCTGTATTTTGGAGATACCCCTGACATTGGACTTGCCCAATGCAATACATCTCCTGATTTCCAAACTGCAGGTCCCAAGGGTGTTGATTGTTCATCCAAGCAAGATTAAATAATTAACAGCTTCAATTCTTTCTCTAGCTATTATCATAGTTCTCAGCATTCCTGAATTCCATCATGTGTTGCGTCACTCTTGTAACCTAACACAGTGACTTGTTTAATAAAGAATGGGTGATGTGAAAGGGCTGGAAAACGTCTGGCACTTATCTGCTTCGGTTAGGTTTTTTTCCTTTGGGTGTGAAAGTAGTTAGAGAAAGGCATTTTCCTTGCTCTCACTTAAGAAGAGTGTTTTCCTCTTGTGCCTTTCTTTACGGGGCAGGGTAAGTGTTTGCTGTAGAGTTGTATAGGAGAGACAAATTGCCTCTAGATGAAAAGCGACAGGCAGGGGAAATTAGTCTTTGGGACAATGTGGTTTTGGTCAGAGGATCGCACTTTCGGGGTGCAGGTGGAGAAAAGCTGTCAATTTCCCCTGCGGGGGCGGGACTCAGCTCGGCCTCCGGTGAGGGTGGCTCAGTTTAATCTTTCTCACAGAACCTGATTGGTCTGGAGAGGATCGGGGGCGGGGCTTGATGTCGCGGGGCGCGAGCCACGTTGAACGCAGTGCAACCCCAGGCCACTCCCTGGCCCACAATGCACCGCGGGCCGCGTCACTCGGAGCGGCGGGTCCCGGCTGGACAGGTACGGCCTGGCCCCTCCCAGTCCTCTTCTCTGTCTTCTCTGGGCCGCTCGGACCCGTGGCCGGCCTGTCCTCTTGCTCTCCCATCCCCCGCCCAGGGCCCTGGCACTAACTTTCAGAGCTACACACCTGCTCCTGTCCAGGAATCGAGCACAACCCCTAGGGACGAGAAGCTAGTGTCGTTGGGCCGTGTAACTCTCGAGGGAAGAGCGTAGGGGGTCCTGTCCCCTGCGGCTTCAGGGATCTTTGAGCTGCAGGGGCAGCAGTTACCCCTTGGCGGGCCTGCCATGGGTTTGGGGTAGCCCTGGCTGGGATACCCGCATGGGGAAGGCCAGTCGCTAGGGCTGTCAGTAGGTGGGGGAATTCTCCGGCTTCTCTGTGCACAGCTCAGACGATCCGATCGCCTGGTTGCTCTGGTGGCCTGCGAGAGAGCTTTGAGGTAGCTTTTCCATTTTTATTCAGGAAAGGTGGGATTTGAAGTAGTTACTTTGCGTTGTGTGGGATTGAATGAACCTTGAACCCAGAGATTTCGGAACCTGTTTTAACTATTGAATTGAGAGGTCCTCTTAATGGCACTTTAGGAACTACGTGGCCGAAGAGAGCCCTGAGCAATTGGTTCGACAAGTGGAAGCCGAACTCGAGCTGGATTCAATCGCTTGACAGTGAAACCACTTTGAACTTACCCTCCCCAGCCCCCCTCTCGTCAGTTTCTTAGGGGAAGAGAACCAGAAACAGCACCCCCAATGCCTGGTCAGCCAAGCAAAGCCCAGCCAAGGGCCAGCATGCCAGCCTCCTGATGGGAGATTGTTCAGATTCTTGGCTTAGTTAGGGGGAACTGGCCATGAAAAAAGAATCGTTTAGTCACATTCCAGGTTACTCATACGTGTTGACAGAGTACAGTCCCTAATTTCTAGTACGTGAGGCGGCTTGTTCAGCCTTCAATTGGACATCTGTTGACTGTGCTAAATTAATGGCCCAGGTGGATATTTCTGTGTTGAGACTCATCACATCAGTTGAGTACTATCTTTGAGGCAGCGTGTCCCTGATTTAAAAAACAAAACAAAACACCCAACCAAACTAAACTATATATTGATGTTTGAAAGAAGGTCCTTTCCCGGGCATGCCTGTGACTGACTTTATTTTCCGTTTCAGTGATTTCTCTTGAATGTGTTGAGAGGCATTGCCTCATAGGGTGATTAGAGATAGGGCCGAATACTGCCCCTTACAAGTTTAAAGATTAAACAATGGACTTAATTTTTCAACTTGATTTCCTCCAGGTAAAAAGGAAGAAATAATACCCACCTTATAGGTTATCGGCATATAACAATAACATAGGTTATTTGAAGGTTTAAAGGAAGTAATGTGGGTAAAGGCCTGACCTATTGAAGGCACTAAATAAATAACAAAAAACCATTGTCGCTGAGTAGATTCCAGAACATAGCAGAAACCTATAACAAGTACATAATATATAATCTTTAAAATAACTTTATGAGAAAAATGCTATTAATAGCCACAACTTAAAGATAAGGAACTTGAAATAAAGAAAGGCAAATTAGCTTACTCTTAGCTGCATAGCTGGTAATGGTTGAACCAAGATTTGTAATTGAGCAATTAGCTCCAGAGTCCATTCTCTTCCACTGTACTGCTTCTTAAAATGCAAGCTGTTCTGTTATTTCAAAATGAATAGCTAGATAGTTTCTGTATCACTGGATTTTTGAACTTTGTTTTTTTAAGACAGCGTGATGTGTCAAGGTGATGCAGGAACTTGGGTTTAAGTACCAGTCTGCAATGCATTGGCATTGTGACATTCAGAAAGTAAGCCTTGGTTTTCTTACTGGTAAAATGAAAGACTTCACCTACACACTATTTGGCACCTTAAGGCTATACATACGTTGAGGATTAGCACATTTAATCATGACCTCGCTGTAATAGGCTAGTAAGAATTGATTTTGAATTTGAGGTGCAATACACTTGAAAAAAATTATGACATTTTAGAATGAAGCTGCACGGCAATCCCAGAGGAGTGCCATTCTAATCCACCAGATGCTTTGCTGGAAAAGGAGGGATAATCTCCTCCTGTACCAGTCAGATCCTATTTGACCGTACATGCACTAAAAAATAATAAAATTTTAAAAAATTAATAACTTTTAACAAAAATCTTGAATTTTCACTGGTTGCCCTGGCTGAAGAAGAATCATCTAGTGTAATTTAATTTGGTGACTTAGTAGATAATGATTCGCAGTTTATTTCAAACTGTGAGCTTGTATTAATTCAGTGTTTTTCAAAGGATGATTTCATAAACATTATAATCATCTTGGGAATTTGTTCAAATTGAAGATTCCCAAGCCCTACTCCAAAGTCAAAACAAATCCAACCTTTTTTGAGGAGTAGATAGCCCCAGAAGTCTGTATTTTTAACCACGCTTCCAGCAATTCTTATATGAGCTAGTTTGAGGACTGCTTTATCAAAATTGGATTTTATAAAAGTTTTTTTATAAGATTATTTACCAGATTGCTTTCAAACCCAGACCTTTGAAAGTTTTTTTAAAAATTTGCTTTTGTAAAACTAATTGCTGTCGAGTTGATTCTGGCTCATTTACCCTATAGTACAGAGAAGCACTGCCCCAGAGGGTCTGGGGGCTTTAAATCTTTCTCCTGTGGAGTGGCTTGTGGATTCTAATTGCTGACCTTGAGGCCAACAGCCAAGTCACCATACACCCAAGCCTCATTGTGTAAAGTATGTGCAGAATTCAATATGTTGTTATGTATCATTAAGTAGGAACTGACACTTAGCTGACCCTCCAGCAGGTTTTCAGAGGCTGAAAATCACAGGGGAAAAGATTGCCCATCTTTCTTCCATGGAGTAGCTGGTGGGTTTGAACTGTGTGCTTTCAAGTTGGCAGTGAAACCCCTTATCACTAAGCCAGCAGAGCTCTCAGAAGTCACTAAGAGATGAGTCGAGTTTACTTTCTGGTAAAAAGATAGCAATATTATGACCAGTGTTCTTTTAACTTTAGGACTTATTTTAGGTAACAGTATTTTTTTTTTCTTCTTGCTATGAAAGTTACATATACCTATTGTGGAACTTTGAAAATTTAGGAAATTATAAGATTATAATGTTCAAATGTAATACTTTTTGAAGATAAACATTCTAATTCTGTTTTGCATTTTTTCCCTCTTTATCCTTCTTTACAAAAAACAAGATTTGCAGTTTTTGTCCAGCTCTTTTCTACATACTATATAAACATTTTACCACATTATTAAACTTTTTTCTCATTTTATTAGTTGCTATATTTTATTTCATATGAGTATATTACAATTTACTTAATTATCTCTCTTGTTGGATTTTTAGGTTGTTCTGTGTTTTCTGTTGAAGAATATCTTTCTGTTTAAAATTTTTTTTATCTCTGATTATGCTCCTCAGGATAGAGTCATATATGTAAATTTACTAGAATGAAGATAAGGGGGATAAAAAAATTTTAAACTCTTGTTGAGTATTACCAAATCATTTCTTTAGAATAATATTTTTATGGCTTCATACTTTTACCTCCTACTTATCAGAATTTTCTTTTAAGTTAACTTGTTAAGTGAAGCAAAGTATGTTACTGTTTTAATTAGCATTTCTTTGACTACTGGTAATTTATACAGTTTTACATATTCTTATCAGCATTGGCTTTAATTTCTGTCTAACTCAGATTGTTCATTTTATTTAAGGTCTTCACCATCAGTTGAAATGTCTATGATTTTATCAGCTTCAGTGCTCCGCGTCAGAGATGGATTGCCACTTTCTGCTTCTACAGATTATGAACAAAACACAGGAGTGCAGGAGTGCAGAAAGTATTTTAAAATGCTCTCAAGGAAACTTGCTCAACTTCCTGATAGATGTACACTGAAAACTGGACATTATAACATTAAGTAAGATTTTAGTTTTCTCCATTCATATTACTTGCCTGGTGGTTATCATTTATTAAAGTTTTAAGTGATTGTAATATATTAGAAAAGCTTGTTCAAGGATTGTGTGATTCTAAGTTTATACTTAATTATAGCCATCACATCATGCAGATTTCTCTCCATTTATTTCCAGCTTCAGGAAATTTACGGTTTTATAGATTACAGATAATCTTTCTTGTAAGTAGACAATTTGATATTTACTGATGTTCTCACATATCCAGAATTTTAGTAGGCAAGCTGTAATGGGAAATATAAAAACTTTAACATGAGACTTCCAGTAAGGAACTTAAAGTGATGTATGTTCTACTGAGAGGAGATAACATTCATCGCTGTGTCTTGTCTATGAAGAAAATACATCTAGGCGTAGAAAGTGACTATATCTGTGATGGTTAAGGATTTCTTCTAAAGGATGACATTTGAGCAGAGGCCTAAGAGACAAAAAAGGAAGAGGTCATATGAAGGATGCTGTTGATGAAGAGCTGATCAGGTAGCGTGCAGAAGCCCTTCAGTCATACAAAGGAAAGAAACTCAGTGATGTGCAGTGTTACCAACAGTTAAAAGATGGTGCAGGTTGGAAAATGAAGTTGGAAGGGTAGATATGAAGCCAGTGATAGAAGGCTTTATAGGTAATTTTAAGGAGTTTGGACTGTGCCTAATGCAGTGGAAAAAAAGGTGTTAGAGAGTTTTAAGGTAGAGAGTCATATGGTCTGATTTTGACTTTGAGTAGATCATCCTGGCTGCTCTGTGAAGAATGGGCTGTAAGAGAAAAGGAATAGAAGAGGCAGAGAGATTCTTGATTCTTCTCTTTCCCTCATATACCACATCAATCCATGAGGAAGATGTGAGAGCATTGTTAGTGCAGAGAAGAGAAGCGTAATAAGCCTTGAATGTAAAGTTTGTGCATTTAATTTTTGTTGTTAAGATATTTGGTTTTGTGCAGTGGACAGTGAGTTGGGTATGTATAAACTCACTGCAGGTAAATTGGTTCTCACTCATAGTGACCCGCCATCAGATTTCCACTATGATTTTCCAAATCATAAGAGGATAAATCATCTTTTTCCCTCTGGCAGCCAAAGATGTGAAGCCTTTGAGTTAGCAGCACAGTTCTCAATGGACTACACCACCAAAGCTCCCCACGTTAAGGTGATCCTTAGTGTGGGGCCAGATCCTGGTGTGTGCTGGAATTCAAATTGAAGGGTGTCACTGTGACATAATAGGTTTTAAGAAACTACTACTACAAATTTGAGAGAAGTGGCTTGCTAAAAGCCAGTGCCAAGACCATGGCATACAGTGTGAAATAGATAATCTCGGGAGAGAGATGAGGCAGAGAGGTCATCTTGAAAACTGTTATCCCGGGAAAGGTATTTATGATCAGAACCCGAATATGGGAAATAAAATACAAATGAAGAGAAAACTGCCAACTAGGAAAAGACTTCAAAAGTAGCTAAGCTGGTTGAGCTGGAATATTAGTGGTTAGAAGGGAAGGAAATTAGGTTTATGGAAAGATTTGTCTATGGGAGATAAAAAAAGGATAAAATAGGTTTTTAAAGTGAATTTATGACAAAGTGGTCAAGCAGAAATGGGAGAAAAGATTTTGGAATTATTCTTGTATTTAAACTGCCAAGAAAACAAACAGATTCATCCTAGAGAGGGTTAAACCAGGCTGCTCCTTGGAGGCAAGGATTCTGGGGCTTCGTCTGACATACTTAGGACATGTTGTAAGGAGAGACAGGTCTTTAGAGAGGGACATCATGCTGGGTAGAGTAGAGGGACAGCGCAGGAGGGGAAGACCCTCTATGAGGTGGATTGATTCAGTGACTGGGGTAATTGGGATGGGTGTGTCAGAGGCAATGAGATTGGCACAGGATAGAACAAGGTTTAGGGCTGTTGTACATAGGGTCGCTATGTGTCGCAAACGACTCGACGGCACATAACAACAAACAACAGAAGTTTATATCAGGAAATCCAGAGTAGAGTCTTCAAGAATGTCCACAGTTGCTTGGGTAACCTTAGTAAAGGAATGATATATTTCATTGAATTTTCTAAAGACCTCTGGAAACTCTTATGAACTTTGATAAATTATGATAATTGTAGAAAGGCTTCAGGCCTTTTGTTCATAGGGTCGCTATGAGCTGTACTCGACTTGACGGCAATCAACAACAACAACAAAGCAATGATGTCAATCTGGAGACTAAGGTGTGCTGATACAGGCCATGGTCTTTGCAGTTACTTGCTATGCATCAGAGAGCTGAACAATGACTAGGAGTGATAGAAGGAGAATTGATGCCTTTGAGCTGTGGTGCTGGAGAAGAGTATTGAATATACCATGGACTGCTAAGAGAACAAACAAGTTCATCCTGGAGAGGGTGAAGCCAGGCTGCTCCCTTTGAGGCAAGGATTCTGAGGCCCCATCTGATGTACTTGGAACATGTTGCAAGGAGGGACCAATCCTTGGAGAGGGATGTCATGCTTGGGAGAGTGGGGGGACAGCGCAAGAAAGAAAGACCCTCAATGAGATAGATTGATTCAGTAACTGGGGGTAATGGGGATAGATGTGTCAGAGATAGTAAGACTGGCACAGGATAGAGCTTAGGGCTGTTGTACATTGGGTCACTATGAGTCGCAGGTGACTCAGTGGCACATAACAACAGCAAAGGGATAACTAGAAAATGTTGCTATTATAGTTAACTGATAGCTAAAATTATGTCTTAATCTATTTCTATTTTTAGAGAAAAACTTAAAACTTATTTAATAATCATATTCTTTTAATGCCCTGGGTCATTATTCTGATTCCAGCTGTTATTGTGTAGCTATACACTATGACATCTGTTACAGATAAATGTCCAAATTATAATAGATTGGTTTAGTTATGTGTCTATGGGAAGTATCCTGAACTTTAAAAACAAAACAGAAACTGTTACTTTCCTTTTCTGCTGACAGAATGCTGTAAGGTCTGGTTTCACCGTCTTTCCAGATGTCCCTCTTCTCTCTTCTTTCTTTTTATCTTTTAACTGTTTTGCATGACCCAGCTTTCACCAGCTATGCATCTGTCTTATTACCTTAATAAACCTTTTCTACTTGTTTTGGTAAAAACAAAACCCCTCGTAACTTTTTTTGCCAATGTTTTTGTTCCTGTGCTGCCTCTGCCAGGTTTCTTAAGAGTAGAATATTATCATAATTTTACTGTTTCTCCCATTCTAAATTTTGAACTCTAAATTGTTGTTTGCTCCCCACCTTTCTCCACAAAGAATTTTAGGGAATTTGCAGGGAAAAAAAGAATTAAAAAGTACAGGTAAGAGAAAGAAATGAAGGAAAGTTAAGAGATAGAATCATAAACTCCGGTAACATTACCTTCTAGAGATGTAAATTACATAGTCCTTCTTTGTTAGAAAAGGGCTGCAGTTATTGCTCTGAGCTTCCTTTTGGCCAGAGCAACAAGAATAACAAGCTTAGTTAGAGAATTCAGAGTGTCCATCAGATACAGACACTGTTTTTTGTGTTAGAAGTCTGACATACACAAAGAGGGATGCGTAGAGATTTTATTTTTTTTTATTAAATTTTATTAGTTTCATTTACAGAGATTTTGGGTTTTCATTCATTCATTGTTGCCCTGTTTTCTCCACCCTCCTCCCCAGTTCATTCTTCTTCCCCCCCACCATGTCTGTTTTAATTGTCCAATTGCCACAGTGCTTGTCAAAGCCAGTTCTGATTAATCTCCTTTGTCAGTGTGTCCCTTGCCATTCC